GCCGCAGCCCCACTTCTGAAAGCCTCCGTTGAAGCCGCCCACACAAAATTTCCCAACGTTCCTTTCGTCCTGCCGCTGGTTGAAATCCTTCGTGCTGCTGCACCCTGCTTGGACAGCGCTACTGGTACCCGTGCAGGAAGGGAGGTGCAAATATGGGAGCCTCGCTGTGCCTACGAGAGCTGGACACAGCGCAAACAGAGGCTGGAAATCCTGCGGCCAATGCTCTCCCAAGTCCATCGTGCCGACGATAGCTGTGAGCGGGAGGAAGCTATTGCCAGACTGGCTGAAGTGGAAGCTGTGCTGGATAGAAGACGTAGGCAGCATTCCGAGCAGATTGCAGAGCTGCAGATGGCACTGGATAAAGCCCAGCGTGCTGCTGAGGAGGCCAGTGCCCAGGTGCAAGCTGTGCTTTCGCAAAGATCTCAGGGTTCCGTGAAACTCCGCTCGGAGCTGCACGGCGAGGTGCATGCTGATGGCAAGAGCGATGTCAAGTTTGACCAAAGTCTGCCACACACTGGGTCACCACCAGATGCTCCGGCGGAGCTGTTACGCAATATTCGGCAGCAACGTGGCCTCGACATCGACTACAGCGCCTTGCCACCGGCAGTGCTGCAAAGTGCTGGCGCCATGCAGCGGAGCATTGGGGTGAGCACCCCACGTACGGGAAGCGGGTTATTTTTTCTTTCGTGTGTGCCTTGTGCTTTTTGTCTGAGGCTGCTGTCGAAAGGCTGGCCATCGACTTGTACGCCTCCAAGGGGCACTTCCTCTTGGAGCTGATCCAAAATGCCGACGACAATCGCTACAACACCTCAGGCCAGACGTGTCGCTCTAGTGCTTCGAAATCGCTTGGCCGTAGAAGACTGCTGTCTTTTCCATCGACTCGGCACGGAGGCGCCGAGCCTGCAATGACATTGCACATGGGCTCTGCCGAGGAGGGGAATCTGGGTTATTCCATTCATCAGAGCACCATGATCGCGATAGCTGATAGCTTCAAACACACTGATAGCATATGTGGATGTGAGCGTTTCGCATGGAGTTTACTATCGAGACAAGGCATGTTAAAATTGCAGAAGCCTTTCTGGAATCATAGTCCTACTTTCAAAAGTAAGCTGTTACGACAAGAACGGGGGCGGTATGCTGCATACGAGAATGGTTTTCCAGGATTGAAAGAAGAGCTTCTTTTTGTTGCTGTTGGAGTCTTCATCAGGGACGCCGCCACCCGCGATGTCGCTCGCGCTCCCTGGCGCTTTCGCTCCCTCGCTCCCGCTGTTAAATGTACTCAGCCCAATGTACATCCGAATGTTCAGGATGCATTTATGAATGCAATGATGCCGAATGGCATTTGGCTCAAGACTGGACGAGACTGGCTTGGTCGCACCAAGGAATGTCTGTGTGATTGTGTACTACTGAGACAAGTGACTGATCCCGGTTGGTTGCTGTTGTTTGGACTGAAGCTTCGACCTTTACACCCTCGCCTGCCGCCTGTTTGCTCTTTCTCTCTCTCTCTCTCGCTCTCTGTGGCTGAGTCGGGCCAATTCTCGATAGGTGCGGGCAGTCATAAGCCTCTGCCGTTCTTGTGCAAGACTAGTTGGAGGTAAAGCCCGACGTACGCTGTACACATCGAAGCAGCCAGCTGCATGGATGATTGAGTGAGAACCAAGGTCAGGCGTGTCTACTGCAGTCATCGTCCAACCTTTTTTGGCTCGCAGCAGATCGTACAGCAGATCGTAGTATACGGAGTGCGTGTGATGACGACATGCCGGCCAAGTTCGAGAAGAAGCTGAGTGATTCGGTCAGCGAAGTCAAAGATTTGGAGTCGCCCAGTGAATCGACCCCAGTTCCCAAGGAAAAACAGGCGGACAAGAACGCAACTCCAGCAAAGCGTCCCGCACAAAAGCGCGTCAAGAAGGATGTCAAAGATGCGGAAGAAGAGGAGGCAGATACCTCCAACAAGAAGCCGAAGCGTGCAAAGAAAGTGAAGGAAGGGCCTTACACCAGCTTCAAGCAGGGCTCCATTCCAGAGCCCCAGCTGCAGAGACGAGTCGATTTGCCCGAGGGGAAGGCAGGATTGAACGTGCTGTCCTGGAATGTTGGCAGCCTGAGGGCTTTCTTGAGAACACGTACAGCAGACCTCCAGGAGGCAGTGAAACTGGCAGCCCCGCATGTGCTCGGGCTGATGGAGCACAAACTGCAAGAGGGCACGCCTGAGACGGAAAGTGCCTTGGAGGAGCTCTCCAAAGCGCTTCCAAATTACCGTGTGGCATGCGTGAATTATTCAACGGTCAAGAAAGGCTACTCCGGAACACTAATCATGCTTCACACAGAGGCGCCCGAGCCTATCAGTGTGCTGGCCGAAGACCTCCCGGCTGCCGCTGCAGAGGGCCGGATGGTGGTCTGCGAGTTCTCCTCCTTGTTTCTCGTGCTTTGCTACGTCCCGAACTCCGGTGATGGACTCAAGCGCTTAAAGGAGCGGGTCGAGAAGTGGGACCCCCAACTGCGCGAACGTTTACATGCTCTCGCAGAGAAGAAGAGCGTTGTGCTCATGGGCGACTTGAATGTCGCTCACCAGGATAAGGACATCTGGAACGTGGAGGCGCCCCATGTTCCAAAGAGCGCCGGGCTGACGCCGGAGGAGCGCCAGTCCTTCTCGAAGTTGTTGGAGAGCGGTTTCAAGGCAGGGAATGCTCATGGCCATGGCAGCGTGAAAGGCAGATAGCATGCGGGCTCTGTAAAGTCTCGAGGACGGCTTCGCACTGCAGCATCCGGAGGCTCTGCATGATGCGTGTAGTGGTCTCGGGCATCATAACTTGTGGCTCAGGCTCTGGGCGCCTTCACGTATTGGAGCGTGCGAGCTGGCAATCGAAAGACGAACCGAGGCCAGAAAATAAACTCGGGCGGAGAGCTTGAAAGCGGAGGGTGGAGTGCTTCGGGATGCTTCGGGCTTCAGGGCTTCTACTCTACTGTCGGGGCAGTGTAGCCACGGTTCTTGCACCAACCGGTGCTTGCAGGCCTGCGGTTGGACTATGTCTTGGTGTCTGACGCGATGACTTCCAAAGGAGAGGGCGAGGCCCAACGCCCTACATGTGCATTCCTTGAACGTCTCCGCCTTCTATAGGGTGATTCCACAAGCCCCGAACCAGGATGGACCCGTGCTTTGCGACACTTTCCACCTGCCGGCTGTGGCAACAGGGGATCATTGTCCAGTTGGCGCGGTCATCGCCGTACCTGGACCGCACGATGCCTGTCATGCATCAAACATCATCAAACACTCGAACAGAGCGCACAAAACAGTTTGACCAACAGGCCAGCGGTCAGCAAGGTTTACCAAATCTAACCGATGAGGTGTGATGTCGGACACTTCAGCACTACGCTGGCTGCATGGCGGATTCCATCTTGGAGACGATCCAACACCCGATCTTGACGAAGGCCAGTTTTCGTCTCTGAACGCAATGCTTCTAGCAGAACATGCGAGTGAAATGCAGAAGAAGTCGGCCTGGCTTCACACTCAGGAGCGAAGTTTGCCAGGTCGGAGCCCACGAGCTCGGACGCGGGGTCGTATGTGTGTTCATACAAGGGGAGTTTCACAAGCATCGATGGAGCTGATGTGTTGTGGACTAGGAAAAGATGGCTTTGCCAGGGTTACGGCGTCATTTCATCGCTGGGTGCTGGCAGCGGAGCACCAGCTTCACAGACAGGACTCCTCGCTCTTCTTCGCGTCGATCAACAACGAGAGCTTTGGCCGCACTGCCGAGCTAGAGAAGCTTGTCCTGCCCATATCACGAGTCGTACGACACGCTACAAGACGTAAATAGACGTGAGAAGCCCATATGTTAAGCCCGCAGCTGCCTGAGTGAACGGTTATCACAGAGGGCTTCTTTGGTTTCATGATGTGTGAAGGCTAGGGATGACGAGCAAAGACGTCGAGGCTTTGTGCGATATCAACAGGCGCCGAGCTGTGTGATTGGGACTGGCTGAAAGAGGGAGCCTTTCTGCGAGGTCTACGAAGCCAGCGCAGGCCGGCTTCTTCCTCTTAATGTCTCGTGGCCTTTCCGAGATGATCCTTGACCAGCTGAGCCATTCTGTCCAGGCCGGAAAGATTGGGAAGAAGGGAGTTGGCCAAACCCTGATGTCGCAGTGGCGGAAAGCTGCGGTGAAGAGTGCTTGTCGTGAAGCCTACATAGTGACAAGGTTGGAAGGCAGTCTTCGCAATCAGCGACCAGCCGACAGCACCACTCTTAGGCAGCAGCATCGCTAGCTCGAACCAGTCGCAAGATGGCGCCCGAGGTGCTCTCTGGACCGTTTCGCTTTCGCTTTGATGTAGCTTGCCCAGACGTGCACGATGCGAGTGATTGCGAGTGATCATTCAGTGGAAGCCACCGAGAGCAATCATGAACGATGGCCTCGCATGGCCTCGCAGTCTGTGCTTCAGGTGCGTTGTCGTGGCCGCTTGGGCTATGTCACGCCTGATGACCTTAGTTGCGAGCTCAGGTGCTTTGTGGCTGCCGTGTGCTGCCATGTCTTTTTGCAGCAGGTGCGCAGGAACAATCCCTGCTGCCAGCATTCCTCCAAGAGGCACTTCAGAGTGCTGTTCGTGTGCAAGTGACATGTCAGTGGTGGAGGCTAGTTCTGGAGGGGCTCTTGGCTCAGCATGAAGCTTGATTTCGAGTTCTAGGCCCAGATAAAGCTTCAGTGGCTCCGACTGCACAGCGCGAGGCCACGGTCCTGTACCTACCGCTGCGTGGTCGCCCCGCGACGGAAGACGGAGCGAGATCTTGCGCCGTCGCAGAGATTCGCAGTTGCCACAGGGTTCGCCAGGAGCGGCTGCTGACATGGGAGATGGAGGTCGAAAACTGTTCGCTACACTGATGCTTTCACAGCTGAAGATGGTCTCCTTTGGCAGGCCTTGGAATCGCAGCTTTAATACGAAGCTCAATGGACAGACTGCTCATGTGCCACCGATCTGGAAAAGCTTGAGTAATCCAGGTGTCGCAGCAGACCTACTAGAGATGCCTCTGGCAGGTATCCAGCGTGGCTGCTTTTTCTGCGCCAGCTTCGCCGCGTAGTGAGTGGAGCCAGCAGCCACTAGGTGGTTTATGCTGGTTAGATGTTGGTGGTTAGATATGCATTAGTCGAGGGCTGCTGCCCTTGTGGCAACGTATGTGTGTCAAACAAATGTATGCAGGGGTCACACGAATAGCCCTTGTGCTTGATGGCTTCAGATGAACCGTGCCAGGGACAGGTGGACTTTTGGTGTTAAAACGAATTAAGCAGTTGTGGCAGCACAGAAGCGTCCATAGACCGTTAGTCCCACTATATATATGCACCTGCCCGCTTGGCCTTATTGCTAAAAATCAGAGTCGGGGAATGCACAGAACCCAATGGCCACTTGTGGAGCGTGGGATGAACCGTGGGATAGCCAGGTGATAGTTCTCGGTTTGAATCCATGACCGTTGTGTTTGAGGCATGGGACGACGCAGTGTCTGCCAGGCGGGATGGTGGTTGAGCTGTGCAATGACGAGCTGCGGTCTGGCTGCTTCAATTGTTTGCTCAGACCGCGGCATGTCTCCCTTGAAAGGCTGCGCCTCAGGGATGTGCTTGCTGCTTGCTACAACGGTGCTGCTTTGAACGTTGTTGTGAGCAAGCATTCATACATGTGGGTCTGAGGCACGGTGACTCCGTGTTTGTTCGGCAGCTGGCGAACAAAGGCAGCTTCGTCGAACGAGCCCTTTGCACGTGCAAAGGCATTGAAAGGTGTCCGCTGAAGCTTGAGCGGAGGTATGGCGGAGCCAGACGAGGCCGTTCCAACATTGGCGAATGCAGGGACCCAGAGACCTTCTCAAGCTCCAGGAGTTCGCCTTTTTTGTTCACCGGAAAAGTGGCGTTGGCACCTCGGGCGAATGCATCGCGGGATCTGTGAGGCTGCACGAGGCCGCGAAGTCAGGTTATAGGGGCTGCAGTCACAAGCGCACAAGGGAACATGTCTGGATGTGATTGCTCGTGCAACATGTGGCTTTGGCATCAGAAAGACACGGCAAACTATGCTTCACACCGGCAGTCTTAACGACATCACGTTCGGTGAGCCGTTCCTACAAGGTATGTTGGCACATTGCGTTTCGCAGCCCCGCGTAGAGGAGATTGTGCAGGACAGACTTGCATTGCACTGAGGTGGTGCCAAGCGATTTGCTCCCGGCCGGCGTAGAGCCTGGGAGTCGAATTGAGGAGGCGCACGAGCCAAGGGCACGGGGTAAGCGGCGTTTGTGCAATCGGTTTCTGCCTGCCGTTGTAGCTTCCTGCAACTCCGTGGACGGAAGGTAGCCATCGCTTTCCAGCATGCAGCCGCCTCTCGAATTGGAAAGGTGTTCTCGTCGCCACCACCTCTGTTCATGTTGCATTGGCGTGGTGCTGGAGTGGTAAAGTGGCCACCATCTGAGGTGCAAGACCAAAGAGCAGAAGCACCTGAGAGCCACGGCCAAGCTGACAGAGAGTCAGATCCAGTTTTCTGCTTTTTGCCAGTGCGACCCGTGGGTTTCCGATTTTCCTTGCACGCGCCGTGGTCACTAACATCGAACCGTGAGGATTTTCACTTGGAAGACCCGCGGAACGTTTGGCTGCGTGGGGTTGCAGCTGATGCTTTGGCTGAAGCGATCGCTCGTTTTGGTAGCGAACCTGGGACGAATGTGCTCACGCTGCTGGATGCTCGACGTGTGCTTGAGCCGTTCTGGAGACGTTTGCTTGAAGAGGCTGTGGAGCGAATTGGCGATGCACCTGTCGTAGCCGTCGTTGGAGAGTCCAAGCTCTACAGACCGTCCGAGGTGTTGGTCCCAACACCTTCGTTGGTGCGTTGCACTGCAGCAATGAGATTCATCCATGCTTTGCCTGCGGAGTCCTGGCCTGCAGCAACTGGCAAGCGGCTGGCCCGGTTGAGCGCCAATGAGGATGTGGCGGTGGAAGATGTTCGAAGATTGTTATCTCTCCATGCGGAACCCGTCTCTGCACACAAGATGCGGGTTCTGCTGAACAGTGACTCCGTCAAGGCTGAGCTGACCAAGCACTGCAGGTCCAGGAATCCTCTTGGACTCGCCCAGCTTTGTGAACTCTTGAGTGCCATGCTGGCTGCCACGCAGCGCGAGCCAGAGAAGGTGCCGACATTCTCCGAAGCAGGTGAGCTTCCCGGTGCCTTGGATGCAGCTTATGTTCGATCGCGGGGCCTTGCAAGGAAGCAGCATGTGCCCCAGCGCGCCCCTGTGCAGGGGATGAAAGGCTCTCGGATGTTGTCACAGAAATCCAGCAGATGCAGGCCCTGTGCATTAGCCTTGAACCATAGCTGTGAAGAAGGATGTGTTGCACAGGTGCTGCCTTTGGCCACTGCAGGAAGTGTCCTTCCCTGAGTCGCACTCGAAACATTTGTGCAAACACTCCTCAGCAGTATACGGTCCCAATCGGACATGAAGTTCGGAGGCCCCTCAAATGACGAGTCTTTCAGAGGGTGATGTCCACTTGCCCGGCTCAGGCCGGTTGCACCATCCAATTCATGATGTGGCGATTCCGCTTTACTGCCCTTATTCGACGGCAGGAACTTGGTGCCCTGGGCTCGATGAGGCAAAATTGGCACGCACGGTCTGCATGAAGGCCACCACAACTTCCGATCTGCCGCAGGTCACTGCATCGACTCTTCTTGCGCACAAAGATGTACGAGCAGCGACCTTGGGACTTTCTTTGGAAGCTGGGGCAAGCATGATGCTTGGCACGTCATCAGCTTTGTCTTCCCGGAGCTTGCATGCAGTGTAGTGGCAGTACAGCAAGCGATGCTGGACAGATTGAAGGTGCTGGGAAGGTGCGAAGGAGCGTCTGACCGCATCGTATGGTGCATGACGATATGAGCACAAGGGCCAAGCCAAGCCAAGTCCGCAAGAGTACATAACGGGAAGAGCGGCGCCGTCCGGTCGTCGACGGATTCCTCCGTCGTGTCAGGTTAGTGCTTGTTTGTGTCGTTGGCTCTGTCGGTCGCTATGGGACCCCTCCGGCGAATTACTTGAAACTCAATTCCAGCGGCTCAGCTCTGCGTAGCTTCATCGCTGAGGTGTTCGACAGTGTGTCGTGGCAGTCGCTGTCCAGTGGGGGCCAGAACTTCCTGCGGCAGCCGCCTGGCCTCATTCGTCTGTCGTGTCCCAAGTCTCGCAACGTACTGGCACCTCAAAATCCAGGCTGGGCGTGCAGAAGGCCTGGCAGGGCTCACAGTGGTGTGAATGAATTCTGGGTTCATTGAGTCCAAGGGGTCCATAATGTTCCATGACACTTCCATGATGTGTAGTGCTTCTTCTGGGTAATAATTATGACGCTGTTGCTTTAGATCCGCGCCGCAGCAGCGAGTGGCCTATGTACAAAGCTGCAGTAGCGGCGGACTGCATGCAATGGAGGGATACCGGCTGGAGGATGTGATTGACACGCACATACATCTGAGCCAGCACTACTCCGGAGGCCTGCCGAATACCTGGCATCCCAAGGTCGGACTTGACAAAAGCATGAAACATTCGGCATTTGCACGTGACCATGTCTGTCATCATCCATGCCTCTCCATGCAAGCCGTCGACAGAAAACCTTCTATAAACCCGTCATAACTCCCCATAGACCCGTGTAGAAGCCATCTAAAACCCTGCCATAAACTTCTCAAAAAACCCTTCTAACACCCTGCCGCAAATCCTCCCATAAACCCTCGCGTGAACCCTTCTACATTGCGAACATCTTATCAAGGCCTCTAAAGGCTTCTCGACAAACCCTTCTATAAGCCCTTCCATCAACCAATCGACTAAACCCCTTCTATACTTTCTTTCTGCAAGCCCTTCTATGAATTTGCTTTGCTTTTAAGCCCCACTCATGTTTCCCGCCAATGTACTGGTGTGATTCAGGAGCACGTCAAAAATGCTCCCCCCCATGTGCTGGCGGGAAATGCGGGAATCACAGACCTGACCACGACGCTTCCCCCAATTTACAGACCTGACTAAATGCTCCCCACAAGTACTCGCAGTCCGTGTCCGCTTCACCGACAGGGCTGTCATGTCAAATCCGTGAGGCCAATGCATTGGAATTTTCAATCAATCGCGGTGAAGACACGAAACGTACATGCCACCTCCGGTCACCGAGAGGGTAACCTATTCCGAACACGAATCGGCGCGGGCACCACACGCGCAGCGTGATTTGGCTTGACCAAGATGCTGCTTCTCCCCAAACACTGGCACATGTCAGGAGCACGGCCAAGATGCTTCCCCCCCATGTATTGGCCGTTTTTGAGACACTCTCAAGCAAAAAGTCACGGCACCACTATTGAGACCAAGGTGATGCCAAGGTGCTGGAATTTGGAATGGATCGTGGGCCGCAGACACGGACACGCCGCGTCCATGGAGAGGGTGGCCAAGTCGGCAGCGTGAGACCCATGTCTTGGAATTTACACTGGATCGTGACAGGAGGAATCGTCACGCCACCACGCGTGCGATGCTGTTTTGCGATGTGCGGCGACTGTCGCAGCCTTGCCCCGTGCATTAACGGAAATTAAAAGTTAGAGTATACGGATTTAGAGTTCAGCGGAGAACGACCCACCCCGTTTTATACAGCACCGCGCAATGGAATGGGCCCAGATGACCGAAAAGCCGTTACAGCTCTTCTTTTTTGGACCGGAAACAGGCTTCCGACTCTCTCGACCACAGCCACGACCACAGCCCCAAAGCGCTTCGGGGTAGCCGAGAATTTTCTTTGTATCATAGAAGCCTTGTACCTGGCGGACGCTTGGCAGAGGAAAGGTGTGGAGGGCAAAGTAGGCGCAGGGATCCGCCAGGGGTGACCATTGAGGCCGTGTCCCTTCATCATCGTTCATTATATTGTGAAGGACGTAGATGAGAAGCTCCTATCCCCCGCCAATGCTTGGTCCGTAGCTCCGAAAGATAAAAAGTTCCGACTGGCCTGGAACTCGACCATACTTCGCGGACGTAAGTTTCACACCTTCCACCACTATCGTCCCATCAGTTGCAGACAAAAATTTGATTGAGCCCCATCCTTCCGAGTTCTGCGGAGGGTGAGGGGAACTAAGCGGCATGTTATTCCCACATCCCAAACACGGAGGTGTGGAACCAGGCGGGTAAGCCACACCGCGCGGCACGGGGGAGCTTTTGAACGCCACCCGGCACAAGATGCTGGTGGGGGTATACAGTGTACAACCATGGTAGGCCAAATCCGGTCCGTCACGTAGTTTTTTTCTCGGCACTAAGAGACCGCATTCTTGCACAAGGGAGGCATAGAGGTAAACTGATTCCATACTGGTTCAATATTATCATTAAAATGCACTATCCAGGCTTGTCAAAACGGCGCGAAAACATGCAAGACAGCATGCTTGGCCTTAGCAAAAATGAGTTAAAGTAAGAGATAACCGGCAACCTTCAACCGACTTCACGACAACCCCTACCATGCAGCCTCACGACGACCTCGGAAACGACTTCACATAGGAAAATCCATTCGCCACGCCTTCGGGAAAAGCCGGCCCAGAGGAAGCGAAGGGTTTTCGGCGGGACTGGACCATTGAGGATTTTCGGAAATCCACAGAGATGGGACGTTTTCGCGTTTCTGGTGCCATCTTCGTGGAGTGCTCGAACCAGCCTGCGCTGGAGGAAGCGAAGTGGATATTGCGGCTAATGGAGGAAACAGATTGCCCTGTCGTGGGACTTGTTGCCAACATCTGCGTGCAGAGAGGAGCCTCGGAGGTGCAGGAATTTTTGGACCAGCTGCGTGACTCAGAAGGCATGCTTCCGAAGGGGTTGAAAGGAGCGCGATGTGTGTGCATGATGTGGGAAAATCAGGCAGATGACGCCTGCTTGGATTCTCGGTTTCTGGAGGGGCTGGATTGCCTGGGCAGGTTTGGTTTGATCTGGGAGTTCTGCTGTGAGCCCCGAATGGCTCCTTACCTTTCGGCCTGCATCGAGCGGTTTCCACATATGGTTTTCGTCATTGACCACTTAGCTCACAATGGAAATCGTGGAGGTGAGATGGAGGTTTGGGGCCCGGCGATGGACAGCCTGAGCAAATTGAAGAACGTCTATGTGAAGTTGGGGGCCCCTGAACAGTGGGATGTGCCCAATCCTGCAGACTTCTTGGATCGGGCGATTAAAGCCTTTGGCTTTGACCGTCTCCTCTACGAGTCTAACTGGTTTGTAAACGAGGCCATGGGAGATTCCTACGACAAGACTGCGGACCTTGTGTATGATGCGTGCATGCGAGCACACGCCACGGAGGCGGAACTGCGCAAGGTGTTCCATGACAACGCATGCAAAGTGTGGCTTGGCTCTCACGAAATTCGTCTTATTTCCTGTCGAAACCACTTATTTGTCGTTACGGGTCGAGCTTCGCGAAGGTACCAGCTCGACGCTTGAGATGACTCCTGTTCTTGGGGCGTTGATGCTGCTGGCTTCCCGTCCGGGAGCAAGGAGCTGTCTTCAGAGTCTGCTCCCTGCAAAACTGCAATGATGCCCTTGCTCCTTGAACTGCCCTCTCTGTGCTTGTCCTGGCAAGCTCCAAACATGCGAATGCTTTCGGAGGCGATGCTCTCGGAGGTGGCTGCCGCCATAGTACGCAATTTGGCTGCATGGGGCAGCCTCCGTACGGAGATAGTCTGGGCTTTGAATGGCTTTGACATGGAGAGGATAGCAAGCAGAAAACGATAATGACATAGTTGATTCTGTGATTGCTTCCAGACGGAGCACTTCCGGTATTTAAAGTTGTGCTACTGTACTACCGCGAAGCACATGCTGAGAGTTTGCTAGAAAAATACCACGCAGAAGGAAGCCCGGCCAGAATCGGACAGCAAGCATTTACAGTGGTACTATGTGGAGCATCAGGATTGGTGAGATGGGTGGTTCATGAGAAACTATGACAACAAGGAACCACAGCCTATATTCGGGACGAGAAATTTTCAAGGTCTGCTACTCCGCAACTCACATGGGGGCCCCCGCATGCTGGCTTCAAACCGGGCGCGGGATTCAAGCTGTCGGCAGTTTTCGTGTTGTAAGACAGGTTCCGGTGCTCGGTTTAGGCTTGGCTGGGTTTGAAGCATTGTGCTGAGCTCGTTGGTCTGAGGGTAAAATAAGATCTCTCACGGATTTAGGAGACTGGATGTAAGGGGTCATGCTGTTCGACCTTACGCATTTCCAGAGGCATGGACAGTTCGTTGAGCACCTTCCAACCCGTAGTGTCTTAAGTTCTTGTATCTAAACACCGTGACGGCTCAAATTTTCGGGGCTCGGGCATAGCAGGCTTTACAGAGGAACGGAAGCAAAAAGCGAGCCAAGGCAGAATCGTTTGGATGCCTGGTGGAACCCCAAAACGGTTCCAGAAAATGACAAAACCCTTACTAGGAATAATGTGTGACCCCTTGAATCCAGCGCCTGTTGCCGCTTTTCTTGACTCCCGTTTATTTCATACCCGATCTCAGCCGAGCTACAAAAACTTCAGTCGAGGCATTCACACCTTGACCTTGGCGGAATCCGTGAACATGCAGTGTTTCAGCCGTGGGCTCGATCTTTGCTAGACTTCAAGATGTTCAATCCGTTTCAAGCTCCGAGGGCAGGCAGCTTTGTTCGGCCAAGACAATCTGGGCCGTGCCGTAATGTGCAATATGCAGCCCAGGTGGCAGCTTTGCGCGGCCAAGCACTGCTGAAAACCAGGAGGCTTTGGTGCTAGGAGGGACAGTGCTCGAGAAAGTTTGACACATCAAGCCGCAGGAGCACGAGCTCGCAGTGCTGTGGGCCGGCCTGGATGCCATACGTGCGAGTCTAAATCAAGTTTTTCCCTGGGATGCTGCGTGCTTGTCAGTTCCGTGGAGTTTTTAGGCCTGGCCAGAGAGCAGTGTCTCGACCCTGCTCGACCTGCTCGTGAGGCGATCACAGTTGCCAATAGTTCGATTCGGTTTTTCAGCTGCTGCTGGCGAGGACAGGGCCAGGGCGGCCGACCCGCCCTTGGCTCAGATTCTACAGGCACTGCCTGGACTGGTCAGCAAGAAGTTTTGGAAACGAGGCTCGACCCTGCCGTGTCCTTTGCACCAGTCTTCCGCAAGAGTCTTAGCGTTAAGGCATGTTGCATCGAATGTCCCTGCTTATGCTCTCCCAGAGGGGAGTCCTGAGGGATGTGCGAAGGGAAAAGGTGTCTCTCCCAGCTAGGCCTAGGATTCCCTCCGACATATCGTGTCGGACGAAGCCAAGCTCTGGATGAGGAGCTTAAAGGGTTTGGAACGGACTTGTTTCAACGCTCCAACCGGTACAGGTAGCTTCAAGATGACACTCGTTATTTCTCACCAGGGTTCCAGGGTAAAGCGCAATCTGCACTCACGTGCGCTGGTCGTTCGAGGCCGCACCGATGCTTTGCAAATGGGTGCAGCGGCATCACCCTCAGATAAGAGCGTGGCTGCAGCACTTTGCACTGAGCTCTCCAGGAGTGGGCTCCGGGAGGGGTCAGTCTGCGAACGAGGCTGTCTGACAGCTGAGGAACTGGGCCACGTCTTATGGCTTCCGACTCGGTCGGTGCTGCCGCCACTGTATTATGCCGCATCTTCCTCTTCGCCGAAGTCGCATCCCTGTTCTGAAGGATTTGGGTTGGGCCAGGCTTCCGGGGAGGTGTGGCTTCGCCGGGCAAAGGGACTGATTCTTCCGACCTTTATGGGTCGCAGCCTTGGCTCGTGAGCGCTCCCTAGTTCTAGTTGCCCTAGACTCTAAGGGTAGTGCCAGCCTGTGTGGGAAGTTGGTCTGCTGGATCCTGCCCAGGCCTCACAGCAAGCGAGCCGGCACGGGGCGGGCTGGAGGCGTGCACAGCACATCTTCAGCGGTTCTCAGACATTTCCAGACCTGCACGCCGCTGCAATCAACAGTCAAAAGCCACACGCCAGCACGAAGCTCCCTAGCTCCTGCTGTTTCGGGAGGAGCACATGCAAGACCTGGGCGACGACGATGGGCAAGCAGAGAAGGTTTCGGCTCATGATTTTTTGCTGCACAGCTCCAATCTCCTGACGTCTTTAGCTAGATTGGCTGAAGCTGTCGTGCGAAGCTTAGACTATCTGCACGGAGGCGACGGTGCTTCCGCCGCCCTCCCGGTCCCGGGCTCGGTGAGGGGCAAGCCCTTTGGTGCAGAGACGTCTTCGCTCAGGCAGTCTGGGCGCCCGTGCTTTGTGGCAGGGGCCTCTGAAGGTGGTAGTCTTCGTGAGAGAGATCTGTACACTGTTCCCTTCAGATCGTAGAGGCGCTGATCAGGATGTTACATGATTTTACATGGATTCAGGTGGCCGTCCCGGCAAGTGGCCAGGCATCGCCCGAGCTTTGCTTTTTTGCCTCTCCTTGTGTAGCCTGTGCGACTTCATGTTCGGCTGCTCCTCAGGCTGGTGGATGGAACGAGTGCCTTCTCCTGTGGTAGGCTCAGTACGAGTAATCGAAGCGTTGAGCGTTGACAAGCTTCTGCCTTCCTGCGACCGATACACGTCTTGTACTCTAAGTTGAGCTGCATGGCGTTGTCGCCACTGCCAAGGCGTGAAGCCTTCTTAACAGAGCTTGGATGTGTCTGGGCCTTGATCCCCGAGAAGCGGCCGCTGTTGGCAGCCCCGGCGATTGAGGCTCAGCCTGGCATCGAAAATCTTGCCGTGGATCGAGTGGCGGCGACTTGGCCAATGTAGCTAAAAATGCTAGAAAGCGGATTACTAGTGGAAGTCGGTTGTGCAACACAGCACTGAGGGTTCTGTTGCAGGGCTGTTCTTCCGAACCATGGTCAGCACAATGTCACTGCAAGGAGCGCCTGGTGTCGCGTCAGCTTTGGGAGGCCGTGGCTAACTTCGCGAAGACTTGCCTTCTATGACGGCATTCCTTCGAAAAGTTATTTCTGGTCTCCTCAGCTTCACCGTTGGCTAATTCTGCATGCGAACATGTCAATGTGTTTTCGGAGCCGATTCATGTGCTTATTTCGCAGGAATGGCAGGAAGGCAGAGAAGGTACTGTACAGGATAGTGTGGCATGTCTAGTGTGTGTTGATCTCCAACATCCTCCGTGTGTTCGGGTCCCCCGTATGGGAGCTGGTCTGTTTCTTATGGGAGTTTCAGGCGATTCGGTCCCGTTTCCAGATGGTTTCATATGTGTCGTCAGGCGATTGAAACCCTTTGTTAATGGAAGTGTGAGGCGCTTGAACCTGGTTCTTGTGGAGGCCTTCCAAAAGCCTCCATAACCCTCCCCTAAGACCCGTCGACCTGGCATAGCTTACATAGAAGAAAGCACGCAAGCCCATCGTCTTACACACGAGTCCTGAAGGGAAACTGATCATGAAGTTGCATAGCCACCCAGAATCGTAAAATTGTACGTTTTCCCATACTGCTCCCAGATCACCTCCCATAGCATACCCGTAGGATAACCGTGCGGACGCAGCAGGGACGGCGCTCTCCCGTGCAGGGAACACCTGAAACCCGAACACCTGCAGGAACCCCCGACGTTGTTTTTATCAGGTGCCCGTGGAACGCTGCTCGTACTAGCTGCCACATGCTGCCACAAGCGAGGGCCCCTAAGAATTCAGTCTTGTCGTTGGCTTGCTACAGGCGCTTGCCAAGTCCATGGAGCTTCGGAGGCACGCGAGGCGCCCAGATTCTAGCCTCTCATGACAACTCGCATCCTGGCTTGCCAAAATGCGTCGAAAGTCTGGGATTGAGGCAGCTCGAGTTTTTCGGGAGAACCACGGCTGGCTGCCTGACTTGGAGGCCTCTTTGTCTTCCTTGTTGGGATCAACAGCTATGAATTTGTCGCTGCCTGGCTGTACGAACATGTTCTGTCGGAGGCTTGTTGGATGCCTGGTATCCTAAGAGCTTGCATCGTGCATAGTCAAGGGGAGATGAGCACTTTAGCAGCCATGCAGTGGTTGTCGATGTGTTGCCTGTTGCGTGACCGTCCAGTGTCGCTGAAATTAAGTGTCGGTCAGGTCCAAGCACGCCAAGATCAGCCAGGCACAGGCATTACGTGAGTGAACTGGGACACCGCGAGCTGTTGCAGGCACGGGCCAGCGCATCAACAGCTACTTTCGCCGCGGTGCCTTCGAGCCGGTGGTCGGTGGGACTCTTGACAGTCCATGGTGAATAGGTAGTCGCATCCTTCTCGAGCACCAGTTAAGAGTGCTTTCGACTTTGAATGCAAGCTCAAGCTCATGCTTGTGCAACAAAGAGGCACCTAGTATCCTAGTAGATCCTAACGGCCTAACGAGCGGAAGTGTCGACTCCGTGCAGGGGAAGGCGGACTTCCCTATGTGGACGCAGGATGCTCAGCAATTGAACTGCAGTCGCAACTCCTGTTCGGCTTGCATGAGAAATGCGTTGCTCATATTCTGGTGGGCTGTGATGTGTACTTTCTCCTTAATTCTAGGTTGCATGAAGTATATGATCGTATATACAGTTTAACCTGACAGCTGCGGCACATTCCAACCTCGACATGCGGACTCGAACCAGCAAATGACTTCGTGCTTCTGCTGGAGACGGCGAAGAGTGCCGATGCGTTGTAACCAGTAAACAGTATGAACGTGTAAGAAGTGCATATGTAAACCTGTTCAATTCAACGGATTTCCATGCCCAGCTTTGAGGCAGAGGCCAACTGTCAGTCGCTTCTCGAGCTTCTGAGGCAGGCTCTGCATGTTCTCAGGAGCTTGCAACTTGCCGCTGGCTCCAGCATGCTCCAGCCTAAGGATTCGCTGCACACCGGATTTCGAAAACCTGGCCGTGGCGCTGCGGATCTGGGTGGACAAGGACCTCGAAGTGAAAGGTCGCTCGCAGTTTAGGAATGTTGGGGGAGAGACGGTGGGTTTCCAACACCACTGGACCTGTATCTTTGGAATGCCACTCAAGATCAGAAGGCGGTTCGTTTCTCATAGCATCGAGCTTCAGGCATAGATGAGTGTCACTGTGGGAATCCCATGCAAGAATTGAGAACTTCGTGTGGGAAACATGTCTCTTGAGAGGAGCCACCGGCGATGTGCGCACCGAAAGCACTAGTCACTGCTCGCTCGGCACGCTTTTTGGCGCATGGGAGCTTTTTGGGTTTGCAACAAAGCTCAAGACCGCTCTGCGCCTCAGCTGGCATAGAGCAAGCCTCTATGCAGGCCTTGCTGCAGCGAGCCATTGCCGAGAGGCCGGACATTTCTACGAACATCATGCAGTGCCGTGTTGATGTGCAAGAGCCAAGGCTTGCATTCTGACGTGCCGCTGTCTAGAAGTAGTTGTGGCTAGCTCAAGCTCAGCTGATAACAAGGCCAGCAGACTCTGTGCTTTCAGCTCAGTTTGTACTGCAAGTACATGTAGTCCAGCCAGCTACTGCGCACCACTTTGCAAATGGTTTTGCGGTAGACCGTTTGTGCTAAGCAGCCGCCATGTAGTGATTGAGAGTGTGCCAGGGAGAGCGAGCCTGAACGCAGAGTCTCCAATGTTTTGACGTTACTTTGCTCAACGGGCTTGTCAGAGTTCTGCATGCGTTATGTGAACGTCCAGCTCGGCATTGCTGACTAATGTTGCATAGCGACTTGTTTGCCATTTCCCGGTTTGGCACTGAAGCAAGTCCAGTCAAGGTTGGCCATTCTGCGCAATCTGATCTTCATCCCAGGCAAGGGCAAGATCAGTGTGCAGGAGGCAGGTTTTGCACGACCTGCCGCACTCACAGGTTTTGAGGCTGTCGCCTGCTCTGTCTGATGCCAGGCAGTCTGGTCTGCCGGGACTGTGGATGGTGATTTCGCTCGCAGGGTTTGTGCATTGGACTTTCCGGCATGGTTCGCGGATTGGACTGCCAGGGCTGTTATGACGCAGAGGGTAGAAGAAGTTTCGTGACAGGCCAGCACTTCGATGCTGGAGGAAGATCCTGTCCTCCCTCTGCTGTGCAATCGCAAACACGGCATACGCAGTTTGGAGATGTTTGGAGCCGCTTGTCAGGAGATCTATGGGCAAACACTGTCCGATTCTCGTGCTCATGCCAGTTCCCGTCCAGGAAATTCGTCAAACAGATGGGAATGTTCCGACATCTAGGTGCCTGCGCAATGTAGATGCTAAGGCGAGGGTGGTTCTGCGAGTTTCTGTCTGTCCGCGAGTCGCCTGGCATGCGGAAGACCAAGTGGCAGCGGAAGATTGGGATTGTTTGCAATGGTCCGAGAACCTCTACAGGGTCTGGTCTGAAGTGAAGCTGCAGGTGGCAGTTGCTGCGAGCGTTGCAGAGGCACGGACGTGCGCCGGCTGCAGGAGCTGTGGAGGGCGTGTTCGATTCCTCAGGCTGATTCCAAGCCACGCAGGGGGCGAGGGCGATGCCTTAGCTCCGTCGACTAAGCCTAGCCTAAGCTTCCTTCGGCAACTTTATGCTTGGGCCTTGGACCTCTGACGCAGAATGGATATAAGGATGATTTTTGCCAAAGTCTTTTGGAGATGAGGCTGAAATAATGATGCAGCTGGAGGAGTACATTCGCGAGTCTGTGGTGCTCGTTGGCATGAGCTTACTGCTTTTGCAGTGCTCTTGTGTTCACGACGGAATTTGTCTCTAGGAGCTTCATTGTCTTCAGCCCTAGGCCCCAAGCCATTACGAGCTGTGCCGCCTATGCTCCAGCGTCTGCTTCGGCCTGTGCCGCACATTGGTATGCGCACTGCAGTGCAACCCCTACGGTAGCGAAGCGTCAAGCGGAAATCTGTAAGTTGGTCTTCTAGATGTTGCTAAAGTGGCCAGTTTTTTTGTCTTGAGGCAAACTGTACAGGTGAATGCTGCAGACCGACCAGTTCGCCCCAGAGTTGCTTGAGCAGTTGGGTTGCGCCAGTTCGGACCGCACGACTCTGGCGGTAAGCGTACAAAACAAAAGTCTGTTCCGAACTCCAGTTCGCAGGAGCTTCTACGGAGCGGAACTTGTCCCTTCGGCCTTCCACCGCATCTCCCACGCTTCAGCTAAGTTTGCCGCCTTCAGTCGTCCTAAGGTCTTGAAGCTTGGGTCTACCGAGTTTGGACCGTTTACTGCTCTTGGAAATTCGCGACGAATCGGTTGGTGAACAATGTGTCCAGCTGCTTGCTTCGCAGCGCTTCGCATGATACCAGAGGCTCGGCACTGCTCCGCCTCCTCCTTCCTCAGAGTGTTCGCTCAGAGTGCCTCCGTGGTTTCGCTCGGAACTTCGATTCCTGCGCCCTGCGCAGCGGTACTACAAGGGGTTGACCTACGTCGTAGCGTCTTGCGGAAATCGTTGCGTGTGAGCCCACTGCGGCTACTACGAGCGGAGGGTTAACTCGCATCAATTTTGTTGAGGAAATACCCATCTTTCTGCGTTAACATTGGGGTTAAGCAATCCGGGCACGGCCCGGCATACATCCAAACATCAACCGTTGCAGGGTTCTCGCGCGGGCGTGTACATGGGGATACCGTGGGGATACCGTGGAAACGCTCACAAGGCAATTCGCTAGAAGTCGTCTCGCACCGGCAAGCACATGGGGATTCCGAGGTAATAATGCTCGGGAGCCCTTTGTCTACCGACGTGCAAAGCCCAACTAACGCCGGTCGTCGCAAAAGTCGTCTCGTGCGGGCGTGTGCATGGGGATTCCGCGCTGCCACTGATGTGTTTCTGGGTTGGCAACGGGAGGGGCCGCTTACGCACTGCTTACGCGGTCCTTTCGCGCAGCTTACGCGAATTGCACCACTCACCACACATTTTTTGACCTCTGCCAAGCTCTCGAACCAGCAATCTCCTTGCGTGCAGACGATGCCTGCGATCCTACAGCGTCTCTTGCCCGGGTGCTTCCCAAATGGGGCGTCCACATGTGGGATGGCTGGCTTGGTTGTGCTGTGATGCCACTGATGTTTGCCTTGAGTGTGTGCTTGTGGCATCGAGTGTCTACGTGGGGAATAGCTGGTTCTGCTGCGATATGATTCTACCGACGGGTGTCTTGCGTGGGTGCTTCTGAAATCGGGCGTCTACATGGTGAATGGCTCTGTTACCATGTGTTTTTGTCTAGTTGATGCAGCTGCTGCTACTGCTGCAAAGTTGAAAACCCTTCTTGAAACCCTCCGTGCTCCTACTTCTGAAAGGGCGCGTGTCAATGGGGATTCCAATGTTCTCGCATGTTATGATCTACGAAAAGGTTGCAGTTTGCCAGCGCGTGGGCCTGATTTCTGTTGTTTCGAGGCTTCGCCCGAACAGGCTTGCAACATAGCTTGTAGTTGGGTATTCCCTAGATAAACACTCTCTGTGCAACGACTTCTGGGCCCCTGCCGCGACTTCACTTTATGCAGCGTGACCATGCGGTGCCGCGACTTCTTGAACGCTGCCGCGACAGAAGTCTACCGCTAGTAGCAGTCCACCGAAGCCAGGGGGTTGAAGAAGAGCCTACACAAGTGGAGCATGTGGTTTGCTCTGATTTTCAACGTAGTCGGAGAAGGAGTCGAAAGAGCCACAAGCATTCCTGACCTTCTGTATCATCTACAAATGTCCGATTGCCTGTACCATGCATCACACAATGCTCGCAATGTCCATAGTTTCAGATCGACCAAGATTCGTATATCTTGAACGAGATTTATGGTCGGGATTCCTGAACAGAGACCTCGAGACAGAGACTTCGAGACACGAGTCAGTCTCGTGCCTTACGTTTACCGATCTTTGATATCTCTCTTCCATCGAGCATCTCGGGCACGACCCAACCAGAAGCCCAAGCGCGAATGCAAAGGTGTATCACTTGCAATTCTCGATCTCGAACCATGCGCAGATTCAGCGGGGTCTTGCCTCCAACCTATTCCCGCAGTACCGCAGCCACAGAACCCAACGCGAGGCTTTCTGCTTTGCATTCGTGAGCAAGCAACCACAGTGGTTCTGCGGCCAATTTGCCCATGCTTTGGACATGCCGGGACACCACAGCTTGATATTATATCTGTTTTTGTGAGCCAAGTCAGGAGAATGTGAAAGCGGTGTTGAAGATGTAAAACCCGCACAGCCGGCTTCAATCAAAGGATGCCTCAAGCGCATCGCAGCAGCAAAATGACTTCCAGTCGCAAATGCGTGGCACAGGCTCACGAAATGTGTGCTGCATGCTGCAAAGCGCCAGTGAGTTGCACAAGTGACGATCCAAGGTGTCAGCCCCGCCCAGGCGGTTTCTTTAACTCAGACACTGCGCGACAGCGTGAACTTATGGGGGACAGGGCCTTGCTTCTGGGTACCCAATGCAACAGAATGTCAAATATGTTTTTCGCTGAACCTCTCTTCCCTTTGGGTAGTCGTGCGACCAAACAAATCAGACAAGTATGAAGCCCACTTGGAAGCACTGTCCATCAACACCCCGAGACAAGCATGCTGGGCAAGCGCAGCTTCACAAGCACATACCTGATATAATGTACGTGATAAGGAGCGCACATCCTCGAATTTTTCCATACATCCGACGGATAGGCACATGGACAATCTGAAACCACGGTCTCCAAGACGCGCGGTACCATGGTGCCACATACGGTGCTCCTGATGCTTGCAAAGTCTCTGGCAGCATAAAGGCTGAATGGTTGCTGCACGTCAGCATCTGGAAGCTCAGAGAACTCTTGTGCTCTGACGCTTGTGCCAGGTCGGTGATGGTCAGCAGAGCCGGCTTAAGCGGCGACGCACGGAGGACGGTGCGATGCCAAGCCCATCCGCTTCAAGAGTTGTCAGGGTCAGAGAAATCCATACTGGGGCCTGGGAGCTTTGCACACTCGGGGTGGCATCCTGGAAGCGATCAAGGTCATTCGTTGATCGAGACGGTGGAGTCCAAGTTTCAGTCGCGACGGTTGCTCGGCAGCTCTTGATTCATGGCGTGCTTTGGTTTCAAACTGCTGCTTCGAGTGACAGGCTGATCATACTGCCGCAGACACGAAACCGGTCGGGCCCTTCCTAGTCATGACTTTCCACGTTGCGATGCTGAGATTCTCTTACAGGCCTTGGAAGTTCCTCGCAACCACACAGGCCTATTGGTCAGCTCGGCACCCGGTGGGCTCAGGCTCCGACGTTTAGGGTCCCAGCATTTGGAACACGGAAACGTAAACAATGCAAGCCATTGGGGCGGGCGACGCGACTTCAGCACAGCAGGGATGCCCGGTAGATGTCGCTGTGCCCGTAGTGGAGCATCAACAGGTCACGCGGTCAGCCAAAGCATCAATTACTTCAGCGTGTCTGGGTGACGCACCTGGTTGGCAGTACATTAAGGTCGATGATGAACTCTCCGAGTTGTCCGGTGCTTAGCTGATGGAATGCATCTGAAGCAAGACCAGTGCAGAGTCTCCATCAGGCCATGCAGCCAGTTCGCGTTGAAGAACTTCTATGGAGTCCAGGTCAAGACGTCACGGCCCTGGATGCGGTGGATGCACAACATGATCAAAGTCATGCTGTGGAAGTGGACTTCGGCTTATGTGCACGACTGCTGCATGTGGGCGACATAGATCAGAACTTGCAGGCGCAGCGAGGAGTGTGGAACAGGCACAGCAGCTTTCTGGCAGCTCCCTGAACCCTGGACATACTCCCCAACTGAACGTGGAGGTTTGGCAATCATAGACTTGAAAGACTTTTTTGTCCAGGCGGGTCGGCATGGGAAGGAGATGGAGGGAGGGAGGGACTGCAGTCTTCCCAGGTCCTCGGTGTCAAAGAGGTGCTGACAAGGGAGGAGCAGCGAGCGGATGTCACAGCACTGCTCTGCTCACCGTCGCTTCCAGGAGCTGGCTCGGCGACTGCAGCCCACAGACAGGCGACCCATGGCGACCCCGAAGCGTCCAGAGCCCACAGCAAGGCAGCGATTTAGTGTCAGGCCGCAGCGTCCACCACAGGCCTGGGGAGTTGCCAGGGGGAAGCGATGTGAGGTCCATGAACGTGACTCGGCGGCACTCAACAGCACTCGCCGTTTGCAGGCCCGACCTGACAGAGCTGCGGTTGCTGGGGAGGCAGTGAATTTTAACTACTTGTCGATGTGCGGTCTGGCATTGTGACATTAGTGAGCGTTGCTATGTAAGCCGCAGCACTACGCAGCAGTATTGCGAGGTTGCGAATGCCAACATGGATGCAGACTCCGATGTCAGCAGTGAGGCAACGCGTCTTGTGGAAGTTTTTCTGCCGTTCGCTGAGCGGACCTCACTCATGGTTCGTATATTGGGGGAGCATCATCTCATCAGACCTTTCTTACAAGCGCATCCGAATATTTGATAGTTGTCGCCGCATTTCTGTAAATAGGCTACATGACCATATGCTGTGTGCAAAAAGCCTTGACCTCCAGAGGACGACGCAGGAGTTCGCGAGGCGCGGAGCCTAAGTACGCATTGCACACTCCGTGATCATGTCTGAGCACTTGAGAGCCTGCGAGGATGATGGAGCCTTGGACTTGGAGGCCTTGAAGCCCGGGCTGGAGATCAGAAACTCTGTTGTTGCCTGTTGTAGGATCTTCTGGGCGACGAAGCGGGAGCTCTCAGCATCTTGCCGGAAGCTGAGAACAGCAAGGACGATGATCACCAGTCACGTCCCTGCATTCAAGCCCACGACTCGTCGCTGGTCGCAAATCGGGGGTGTAGATTGTAGATAATGTAGATAAAGGTATGGATAAACCGACAAACAGAAATACATGAATGATACATGTGACAAGAGGTCAAGAGGCAGTATATACATATATATATGTTTTTACTATCTGAACAAGAGACAAGAGAATATATATATATATATACATACACATACATATAGGGTTAACACGGTATTTACGATACAAAACAAGGGTCGGTAGTTCATGGGGGGGGGGTTCGCCAAGCTTCGGGTTCAAGTTCTACTCGTGGAGGGGCGTTGAGGCGTTGTGGAGGCTTGTAAGGTTT